TGATGCTTTTGAACTGTGGTGTTGGAGAAGACTCTTGAGAGTCCCTTGGACTGCAAGGAGATCCAACCAGTCCATCCTAAAGGAGATCAGTCCTGGGTGTTCACTGGAAAGACTGATGTTGAAGCTGAAACTCCAGTACTTCGGCCACCTGATGTGAAGAGTTGACTCATTGGAAAAGACCCTGATGCTGGGAGGGACTTGGGGCAGGAGGAGAAGGGGATGACAGAATGAGATGGCTGGATGGCATCACCGATGGGCATGAGTTTGCGTAAACTCCGGGAGTTTGTGATGGACAAGGAGGCCTTGCGTGCTGTGATTCATGGGGTCACAAAGAATCAGACACGACTGAGCGACTGAACTGAACTGAATTACCAAAAAGTGATATTTGTGTGTTTTCCTTGTGGCAAGTGCCAGAATCTCCCTTTTAGAAGCTGAAGCCCTTTGAGATTCTGAGACTCTTTAAGAAGACAGGACTAGGACTTTCCTGGTGGTCCAGTGGTTAAGAATCTGCCTTGCAATGCAGGGGATTAGAGTTTGATCCCTGGTCAGGGAACTAAGATCCCACATACAGAGCAACTAAGCCCTTGCACCACAACTGCTGAGCCCATGGGCTACAACTAGAGTCCATGCACCACAACAAAAGATCCCATGTGCCACAACTAAGACCCGATGCAGCTAAATAAGTAAATAAATATTTTAAAGAACACAGCACCCACAGAAGCCTGGGTGATTACATGGATTCTATGAAGTACAATAAAGCAGACCACCTTGGACTGTAGCCCACCAGGCTCTTCTGTTCAAGGAATTCTGTAAGCAAGAATGCTGGAGTGAATTGCCATTCCCTCTTCCAGGGGCTCTTCCTTACCCAGGGATGAAACCTGGGTCTCCTGCAAGGTGGGGAGATTCTTTGCCATCTGAGCCACCAGGGAAGCCCCAAATAAATAAATACTAGAAAAAATAAAAAGAAGAGCCCAGGACCCATAGAAGTCTGAATGACTACATGGATTTTGTGAAGTACAATAAAGCAGACCATCTTACTTTTGTTAGCTTGTTTCCCTCCAGTGGAGAGACTCCCTCCCAATCTGTAATTCCCACCCTTTACTTTAGGGAAAGAATTTCAAAATCAGTTTAAATCATACCTCCACTGAAAGGCTTTCCTAATAACTCAGTGGAGGATGAAGAAAGAACATGAGGCCTGAGAATTGTAAGATATTCCCCTGCTCGGTTGTTAACCAGTTGCAGGGCACTTAACTCTTCCTGGCCATAATTCCCTATTTGAAATTTTATTATTACTATATTCATTTCCTGCGCTATGCTTGTACTGAAAAGTAGTGAAAGTGACCTCAGGGTGAACTGCTTATAAACAGGAGAATAAAGCATATGTTTTAACACCTTTTAATCATCCTGAAGTCATATTCTTGTCTTTCTAGATCCTGTCCCTGGATGGTGTTTCCATTATTGGCAGTATCACTCGGAAGTGGAATGGTGTGTTATCAGCAATGAGCGATGCTGACCACTTTGAAATTCACTTCCCATTAGACCTGGATGTGACCATGAAAGCCATGATTTTTGGAGCTTGCTTCCTCATTGTAAGTCTTTTGCTGTTGAGCTGTTCTGAGAGAATTATTCTTTATGATGAAAAGCAATAAGGTTTGAAACTGACTCTGCCACTTACTGATTATGTCTTGTTCAGTCACTAAGTCATGTCCGACTCTTGGTGAGTTATATGTCTTGCAAAGTGTTTAACACTTGCAAGCCTCAATTTCCTCATTTGTAAAATGGAAATGGAATATGTATGTGTGTGTGTGTGTGTATATATATATATATATATATTGCAGGGTTATAAATATGGCCAGGACCATGCTTGAAAGATACTAAGCATCCACTCAATGTGATTGTCATCACTGCATGTTACTTATTATTCTCACTACTTAAAGATACCTGCCCTTTGATTTCTAGGTGAAATAAAATAAGTCTAAAGCTTATGTTCTTTCTCTTCACCTATTACCTATTTGTCAATACACTCCTTGGTGTTGTACCATCCTATATTTATTAGGTACAATTCCTTTGCTATATTTCTATCTGATTAATGGCTAATATTATTAAGTAAAGCATAGAAATAAAACTGGTAGCATTTACCTTAAAATATCTATTTAACATATTGCAATTGATATATTTAACTTGTTTAATCCTTTTAAAAACATGTTTAATTTGCATTTCTCTGATAATGAGTGATGTTGAGCATCTTTTCATGTGTTTGTTAGCCATCTGTATGTCTTCTTTGGAGAAATGTCTGTTTAGTTCTTTGGCCCATTTTTTGATTGGGTCA